TGTCCTTTGGTCCCCTCCGCACAGCCACGGGCCGGAGGTAGCGGCCAGCCAGAACCACGCCAGGTCCTGGACTGTGAGGATCAGGCCCGAAGGTGTGGGGCTGTTGTTTACACTCCCCCCCCCCTCCCCCCCGGAAGGGGGTGTGAATGGACAAAAGGGACACTGTCGGAGGACAGTGTTCCGGAAGAGGATGCCATACGTTGAGAGCAACGCAAGTCCGCGCACCCAACGAAGGCGAGACGACAGGTGGGATGCCACCCAAAGAGGGTGCTCTACTGGCTCAAGCTAATTCCCCGAGACGACCAGGAGGAGGTGCCGCAGTGGTGAGCTACCGACCCTGTCACGGGGGGGGCTTCTGGCGAGGGTGGCTCCCTTGGCCCTTAGGCTGCTGTGGCTTGAACCGCTTGCGGGCAGGGCTGGGAACATACCGGCCCAGCATTTTAAGGATCATGTGGGAGTCCGTGAGGCCATGGAGTGTATTGTCCGTCTGTTCTGCAGACAGGGCTTGCCCATCGGAAGGAAGGTCTTACATCGACTGCTGAGCCTCCGTGGACAAGGCAGAGAGGAGCAGCCAGATGCCAGGCGCATGGCGATGGTTTGAGCGGCGGTGTCCACCGCATCCGATGCCACCTGAAGCGTCGCCCTGGCCGCAGTCCTGCCCTCCTCCATGATTGCCTGGAACTCCTTCCTAGAAGTCTCAGGGAGGGAGCCCTCGAACTTGGCCATGGCTTGCCATGTTCAAATCATAGCGTCCCAGGAGGGCCTGGTGGTTGGCACCCTCAACTGGAGACTAGAGGATGAATAAACCTTACAGACAAACAAGTCTAGTCTCTTGGAGTCTGTTCCTAGGGGTAGTCCTGGGTTGACCCTGTCACTCCCTGTGGTTAACTGCCTCTACCACTAGGGAGTGGGAGCAGGGTGGGTGCACAGGTACTCATGGCCCTTGGGCGGCACAAAGTACTTGCGCTCAGCCCCCTTGGAGATGGGGGGCAGGGAGGAGGGAGTTTGCCACAGGGCATTGGTGATCTTTGAGACCTCTTCATGAAGGGGCAGAGCCATCCTGGCTTGTGCCCTGGAGCAGGCAACATTGAAGAGAGAGTCCGAGGGCTCCTCTAACTCCTCCGCCTGAAGACCCAGGTTGGCGGTGACCCGCTGCAGTAGTTCCCATTGCACTTTAGCATCATCCGGAGGAACCAGGGGAGGGGGCCCCATTATAGCCTCGTCTGGCAACAACGAGGAAGATGCCAGTGCCGTAGAGTCCTCCACAACCATTGGTGGACCAGTGGCTTGCTCCCCTGCTCCCTCTTGGACCTGCGGGGTCTTCATGCCTGAGGCTTCGTGCACTGGATGAGGGCGGGAGAGAGAGGCAGCTGGTCTCTCCGAGGCCCTGGACACTGAGCGGGCGGCCTGGGAGGGCTGGGTGAACCCCCACGGGTTTCATGGGTACCACAGGGCCAGTTTCGGTGCCGACAATGTAGCCGGTATTGCTGGTACTGGAACTTGTACCGTCATCTGGGAACCTCGCTCCGAACCAGGGCTGGGTCCTGAGTGGTCGCTCCCAGGCAACCAGGACAGAGCGGAACAGTGGCTCTGCCCCAACTGCTGTCAGTCACTCCCCCTGGAGTCTGATCTGGAGCGCGGTCTTGGGGACCAGTGGCGTTCAACGGGGACTGAATGGGGCTGCGCTGCATCTGCCTTTCATGGTCAGAGGCGTGGCGGCTATGGGAGGGCGAGTGCTGGCAGGACGTCCCCTGCGACGGGGAACGGTGTCGCTGAGGTGGGGACCGTGATGGTCCGAACGTGGGTTTACCCCATGACTGGGGAACTGCAGGAGCCGGTGTGGGCGGCACTGGGAGGGTCATTATCTCCTGTGCCACCTGCAGGGCCTCTGGTGTGGACAGTATCCAGAGCTGGCGGAGGCCTCTGATGCTATCCAGGATGGCCGGTGGAGAGCGGGCCGGGGTACCCCACTCAACCGGAGCTTGGGCCCGAGATCCTGGTGTGGGTGAAGACTTGCCTGGCACGGGACCTTGCTCGCACCCAGTCTTATCCTTTCCCTTGTTGGAGGTTGGAGACTGACCTCGCACCGTCTTCTTGGCCGGCGCAACAGATGGGGACTGGTGCCAGCCAGGTCACGGTGCTCGGTGCCGAGTAGAGCGGTGCTCCGGTGCCGGGGTGAGGGCCGACTCCATAAGGAGTGCTCTTAAATGAATATCGTGCTCCTTCTTAGTCCTTGGCTTGAAGGACTTGCAAATTTTTCACTTTTCACTAATGTGCCCTTTGCCCAAGCAACGTAGACAGCTGCTGTGTGGCTCACTAACGGGCATGGGCCTCTTGCAGCGATTGCAGGGCTTAAAGCCTGGGGATCGGGGCATGCTCCGTCCCAAGGCAAAGTCCCGTTTCAGGACCTACGAAGTCTCTAACTATAGCTAAGGGATTTACTAACACTAACAGAAAACTACACACACTATAAAACAAGGATTAACGAGTTTGTACGAACGAGAAAGCAACAGCATTAGCTGAAGCAGCAACAGTTCCACCACTGTCACTGGCGGTAAGAAGGATCTGAGGGTGGGGGGAGCTGGCGACGCCCTATATACCGCAGCGTATGCGCACCACTCCAGGGGGTGCCAGAGCCGGTCCCCTACGGACACTGCTGAGGGAAAACACCTCCGGCACCGGTGCATGTGACGAGCACACACCTAGGTTGAATGGACACGAGCAAGCACTCCAAGAAGTAACAACCCCATGAACAATGCTGGGGTGGGAAAGTGGGTTCCAGTCCCAGCGATCACGGGCAGCACTCTGGGGGCAGGAGACTCCAGCGACAGATCCGGGACAGACCCAGGTCCCAGCACTGCTGCCTTGCGGCCCAGGCCAGGGAAATGGGCAGAACCTGTGGAGTTTATTTGTATTTCAGCACATTACTGGGGACTGCAAAGTGGTTCATTGTAACCCTGCAGGTGAGAACACTATAATCCGACATCAGCAGGGCAGGGGTGTGGCTGTGGGGCTACAGGCATTAGCACAGGTGAGGGAGGGCGCCAGGGCAGTCAGTACCACACAGCTGCTAGGTACTGAGACAGTCTTGAGTGTCAGGCGTCAGGGATCTGAAAGCGAGAAGATTCCTGGTGTAACTGCTTCCCCACTGGCTAGATGGAGGAGCTGCTCAGCATGGGAAGACAGCTTCAGCTTCTATTTGCAAAGCCCCAGTGGTTGAGATGCACGAAGCAGGGAGACACAGGGGCTGGGACAGGAGGCCCTGCAGGGAAAATCCCAGGACCAGTCAAGCTTGAGGAGAGCTTCCAAGAGACTGGGGTATGTCTGCACTAGGGCGTCCAGGCAGCAAGTGTGAAAAATTGGGGCAGGGGACGGAGGGTAATAGGAGCCTATATAAGACAAAGCCCCAAATATCAGGACTGTCCCTGTAAAATCGAGACATCTGGTCACCCTAGTCTGCACTAGGCCCTGTTCAGAGCAGACCAAGAATTCCCTGATCACACCCGGGGATTCCCATCCCTCCTGTCTTTCACTAGGGCACTACGCCCCATCAGTCCTCCAGCCCTTTGCTCACTGCAGCTCTGGGGCCGGGCATGCAAGGAGTGTGTGTGAGATCAGCGAGTGCTGTGGGGAGCCAGGGGCTCTTAGAAACATTAGCAGTTCCTCCAAATCCCCGCTGGCAAACTGGGTTGGGAAAGTGGGGCCCAGAGGTGTTGGTGGCTTGCAAATGGTCTGCATCTAAACTGGGAAAGGAACCCAGGAGTCCGGACTCTGAGGCCTGTGCCATAACCACAAGACCAACCTCCCCTCTGCCACTCCATGAGCACCCCAGCAGCGTTTCTGCCCATCCTGTCAAAGCAAGAGGGTTCAAAGGCTCGCCTGTGATCTGGGGAGCTGGTGACGGCTGCTGCCCCCAGCAACGGCACAGGGGACAGGCACCTACCTTGTAAGTGAAGGACTTTATCTTGCCAAAGAGAGACTTCTTGCTGGTGAATATCAGATCATCTTCCACATCTTCCCCCTCCATAATGGCACAGCTGTCGGCGGCTGGCAGCTCACTGTCCTTGGCAGTTGAGTTCATCACCAGCTTGGAATATTTATACTCCAACCTTCAGGGGAAAGAAGAGCAGAGTGGATGGCCCGGGCCCTTTGTGTGGGCACCCCAGAGATATACACAAAGGGATCTGTGTACTGGAAGGCCCTGGTTTTCAGAGGGTGCAAGGTGGTAAAACCATCAAAAGATCTGGGGTGCAGTAAAAATGGGGATGCAGACACTGATCTCCCTGGGACAGCGCTGCCTGGTGGGTCTGGGAGTGGTGGCTCCTGGCAGCCCTTGTCCGCAGCTCCCTGGGGGCATCCCGCTGAGGTGGAGTTTGTGCGAGCGGCTGGGACATGCTGTATTCTCCAGGGTGTGGAGGCCAGGCAGCCACTTGAGCTGGTAGGTCAGGGCATCAGGAGGCAGCCGAGCCCGGGATCCAGCAGCAGGGAGCGAGCTGCGTGGGCTCAACGGGGGATGTGTCCAGTGAGACTGCCCCCGGCCAGGGTTTGTATCCAGCCCGCAGCAAGTGGGTCTGTCCCTGGCAGGGCCCTGTGCAACCTCCCTGGAGACTGCAATGAGCAGGTAGTTCTAGTGCTAGGCACTACAGGGCACCACTTTCCTCTCCCAGCCACATGCTGAGCAGTGCCCGTTCCAGCAACTCGTCCAAGCTGGGAGTCGATTGGATGGGTCATCCCCAGAGCAGGTGGTGCTGGCAAGCAGGGGATACTCCTCCCTGGGAGTCAGGACTAATCCCAGGGGAAGAGCCAGGCGGCAGCCCTCTAACAGGGAGGCAGCTACTCACTTTTGGTTTTTCTTCCAGAAGTAGCAGGTCATGACAGTCAGCAGGACGGCCGCGCAGGTCCCGGCCGAGATCCCCACCTTGAGCCAGAAATCCATGGTTTTGCAGATGCTGACTTTCTGCTCTGGGAGGGGGATGCCGCCTGAGCACAGCTTTGGCTCCCGCCACACGTAGGTGGTTCTCTGCAGGGGGCACACAGACAAGCCCTCCCTTCAGTCCCACACGTCCCAGGAGTGTGGGGGTGCAGCCAGGCCCCGGAGCAGCACTGTGCTGAAGGGAGTCCACTCCTTCTGGGGCAGCCCTGGCAGGAACACACCCAGTAGCTCTGGGCTTGCTCTCTGCTTCAGGCCCTGCCGGACCATTGTCCACCACCTCAGCAGCTCCTGATTCACCCTGGCTTCCACTCAGAGACAAGGACTGGGAAGGGCACTGATTCCCAGGGACTTGTGGGAATTTCCCATGGAATTGTGGGAGTCTGACCTCTGCTACAAGCCCTCTAGGCTCCCTGAAGACCTGCTGGGCTCTCCCAGAATGCTTTAGGGCATTGGGGACTAAGAACCCTGCAGCAGCATCACTGCAGTGCTGCGTGCAGGTAGTGTGGACACAGGGTACGGCTGCTGCCAGGAACAGCACGATGAGGGTGGGCCCCCTGCATTGCTGGTGCGAGCCCATCAGCTCGCTTACCTACCACTTGCTTCTCCTGCCAGCTGGACACACCCCTCCCCGCCCCAGCCCATGGAGGCGCAGCTCCATCGCATGAGAGCTCACCTGGATCCCGCCGAGGCAGGCGCTGACGATGGCGTGGTAATCGTAGACGGAACAGAGGGGGCAGGCTGTGGAGGTCTCCCAAAGGAAGTGGAATGTGCACCCGTCACACGTCCCATCAGGGCATTTACTGTCAGGAGAGATGAGGAGGATTCTGACCCGCCAGCCCCAGTCGCTGCCGGCAGCACCATGTGACCAGGCAGGGCTGCAGGCGAGCTGCGGCGTGATTCCAGGCACAGCGTGCTTAGTGTCCAAGCCCAGGGGCCTGGCTGGCAGCTAAGCTGAGCTCTCTTCGGCTTGGGCGCCATCCCCAGCGATACAGATCCTGCTGGCCGCTTTCCACCACCTGTCGCACCCTGGCGACACACCAGGCTAGCTGAGGCCACAATGCAGCTCTGCACTGGATGGTCACTCACAGCTCTATTGCTCAAATGTGACGCAGGAAGGACCCTGGCTGGCTCACCCATGGCCGGGCCCAGGGGGCTAACGGGAGCGAAGAGCAAAGAGAACTGGCTGTAGTCCCTCCCTTGGTCAGCAGCTTGGATGCACTCACACAGGGACACATGCACAGAGGAACACCACAGCACCCCAGGAAGGTGGCAGAGCCGTGGGGGAAGCTCCCTGCTGCGACAGGCCGGGCCATGTTCTGCAAACCCAGCTCTAGTTTGGTTACAGAAACAGCCTCCCAAATCCTTGCGCACATCCAGACAGCCCGGGAACCAGGGCCCACATCTCCAAGCGTGGCCACTGAGTTGGGCTGGCTCTGTTTCTCAGTGCCCAGGCATGGAGATGCCAGGTGCCCACAGCTTCAGCGGATGCCAACAGGAAATGTGCTCAGGGCTTCTGAGAAATGGGCCCGAGGGTCACAATTTGGCCACACAAACTCAGCAGCCATTTGTGAAAATGCAGCTGTTTCTACCCGTGGCAAGATCCCAGAGTGGCGGGTTTGGAGAGGAACTGTGAGCTCTGTGCCCAGCAAGCACCAGATACTACCCTATCCAGGAGCTGGGCTGGAAATGCTGACCTGTTTGTGAACAGCAGGCCTGGATGTGCCAGAGGAGAAGGCTGAGGCTGACGGAGGCTGATGGAGGCTGGGGAAGGGACACAGGTCAGGCCTGGGGGGAGTGAACAGGACCCGGCACTGCCCCAGCACAGTCCAGGGGAGCTTGGCTGAGGAGCAGGGCCAGTTTGGACCTAGGGCAGCCAGCTGGCCTCAGTCTAGCTCACAGATCTGAAAGCAGCCTTCAGGTTGAGCCAGCTGCTGCCCAGGAGCCTGGGGAAAGAATCTGGCTGACCTGTACAGGGTGGGGAGAACCCTTCCACGCCGCCTGCGGCCGCACTCCTAGCCTGCCCTTCCCTCCCTTGCCGGGGGTTTTTCACAAGCAACACCCTGCAGCGGAGGCAGCTGGAATTTGGGCTGGGAAACGCTTCTGTGAGGTGGCCTGAAGCTCATTCGCAGCAGAAGGAGAGCGGGGAGGCCCAGAGACGGCAGCTCCCAGCATGCAACACTCCATCTTGAGCCATGTGGCTGGGCCAGCTGGTTTTCTCAGACATTTTGCACCACTACCAAGACAGGTCCCTCCCCCTCTGGGGGCAGCTCTAGTGCAGGGAGGGCTCCAAGGGCCAGCTCAGCCGGCTCACAGTGGCTCTGTATGCTGCAGTGGCACCTTGTCTACACTAGGGCTCCTGCTGTTGCTGCCAAGTGTGGGGCTGCACGACTGGGAACAGTGCTGCTGGGGGCTTTCAGAAGGCTGAGGGCAGCTGGCTCCATGGCATGCCTACTGGACACAGCTCTCCACCAGCCGGCAAGCTGCCACTGCAACCTGTCGCTGGGTAAACTATGGACACCAAACAGATCAACACCCTGTGATGCAAACAGTCCAGGGCCTGGCAGCCTGTCCTGCACGTTACTCCATCTCTGAGTGGTTCTGCCTTGTACTGAGCCAGAGAGCAGCGGGGGGCCCACAGTGCACGGCAGCCCTGGTGCTTACCTTGGCACGGACAGGGCTCCGGAGCCTGTCTTCAGGGGGTCACATCGCAGGCGGATGGCTGTGGCCCGCCCAGAGCTGCAGGACTGGGTCACGTCATTGGACCTGCAGGTTAGGCAAAGGCACCGCACTTAGCAAGGACCCTGGTCTAGTGTGAACACTCAGCACGGCCCAGCACTTCACAAGGCAGGTCACACAGCAGGGGTTGGGAGAAAATCTTTGTGCCCTCTCCCCCAGCCCAAGGGGACGGTGGATATGACTGTGGTTCCCTTGCTCCCTGGGGTGGGGAAGGGAGGTCCTGGACTGCTCTCTGAGGGCCTGGCAAAGGCTCCGCGTGGAGCTGGCCGCAGCTCTCTACAGTTTGGAGCGGCGCTCGGCAATGCTGAGCTATGCAGGCGGCGATGGCGAGCAGGGACCCAGGCGCCCACCCCCCTTAACTTGAGGCCCCCGTTACCTGTAGAAGAAGATCACGTCGGTCAGCCCCACGTTCTCGGGGGCGAAGTGCTCAGGCAGGGAGGTGATGTTGTCCAGGGTTGTTTCTGTTGTCACCCCTGAAATGACACCCAAGCTGATGAGGATCCTAGCACAGAGCGGCTCCGCTCCCAGTGTCTGCCCTGGGCCACTGGGAAGCAGGGTGGGCTCCCAGCAAGTGCTGAGAGACATGCGCAGCGGGCTGGTTCCTGCCTACCTCCCCTGCGCACTAGCCGTAGATCAGCGAGCCACGTTGGGCTCCTTATGGCTGGCGTGTGAGCACCAGGAACAGACAATCTGCAGGGGACGCTCGGTAAAACCGCCACAGCCCCCTGCCCGCAGCGATGCCCGTTGGGCTGCAGCGTGGTCACAGCACCGGGGGCGCCAGCTGCTCAGAGGGAGCAGGACTGAGGAGCCTGCCCCTGCCGAGCCCTGCGCACAGGCTGGTGCTGCTGGTGGGGGCTGAGTGTTCAGGCACAGCAGGAAGGACTCCGCTGCCCCTCTCCCCCCATGGGGTGCGCAGAGACATGTCAGCAGCCAGCGGCTTCCGGGAGCAGCGTGGGGCCACGGCATGCAGGCAGCCTGCCTGAGCCCTACTACGCCGCCGGCTGGGAGCCACCTGTGGTGAGTGCCTCCTGGCCAGAGCCTGCACCTCGCACCCCCTCCTGCACCCCAACCCCCTGCCCCAGGTCAGAACCGCCTCCTGCACCCAAACTCCCTCCCAGATCCTGCACCCCAATCCCCTGCCCCAGCCCGGAGCCCGCTCCTACACCAAACTCCCTCCTAGAGCCCACACCCCTCACCCCCTCCTGCATCCCAACATTTTGCATGTGATGAGGCTCTCGGAAGATTTTGGTTACAGACAAAACAAAAAAAAACGGCTCTTCTTCTTTGAAAGGTTGCCGATCCCTGCTCTAGAGTCTCTTAAGGTGTGGAGGAATTTCTCAGTTTTCTTGGCAAACTTGATTTGATCCCTGGAACGGAAGGCCCTCGAATGCAGTTTGGACTTCCCCCAGAAAACCCGACAGCTGAAGCCAGGAAGCCCTCCTCATGACCATTGCCATGGAGATGGAACATGCAGCTGTGTCAGCGGTGTCCAAAGAAGCCTGTAGGGATGTCTTTGCAAGCAGCTGGCCCGTAGCAATGATTGGCTGAAACTGCTCCCTCTCATCCATTATTAGAAGATGCTCAGTAAAGGCATCTTAGCGTGGCTATACTTTGCCATGAGGGCTTGGTAATTGGCGATCCTACACACAGCATGATTTACAGCAGATAAATCAATACGCTTAAAATCTTTGCCATGTGGCGTGGCCTTGGGGTGGTGCTGCCTGCCACGTTTGTTCACAGCATCGAGCTCACGGGAGTTTGCGGGGGATGTGAAAATAAGAAGTCTGAGTCCTTGGAGGGAACGTTGTGTTTTGTGTCCGCTCTCTTACGATGGCCAGGCCAGGCCATGTTATTTCTGCTGGGTCCACCATGGCCTTGTGGATGGGTAATGCGACACGGTCAGGGGAGGTGGTGTGCAGGCTGTCAAGTAGTTTATGCTGCGACTCCTTAAGCAGGCGTCCGCCACCCTTTTAATAAGGTCCTGAAATGGGTTAAAATCAGCAGCCCAGGATGTGGTGGCAGGTTTGTTAGGGGAAGATGGAGAAATGCTGGTCGCAAGGAGTAATCTCTTTGTCCACTCTCGCTTCCTGGTCCTCAAAGGTCTCATCCTGTGGATCAGGAGCCCTAGAGAGACGCTGGTGGGGAGTCTCTTCTCTTCTCCTGGCGAGAAGCAAAGCACTAGGAGCCCTCAAAAACTGCTGACAATAAGCTGCCCAAGGGTCCAAGTAGGGCCACTGAGGTGGTGAAAAAGGCATGGGTGGGGGCACCCCAGGGTGTTCATACCATCTGGGTGGGGCTTGTCTCTCATGAGGGTAAGCTGGGTCTGTAGAGATCTCAGGAAGGTGGGCTCATTGGTAGCCGAAAGGAGAGCCTTGGACAGAATGAGGGAGACTGATGAAAAATCCCCATCATCGTCTTCCTCTTCATCGCTGGGCAAAGGTGGACCACTGTGACGTTATGAGTGTAAAATAATATTTCATTGGAAGATGACAGGGCCAGAAAGAGTTAATTAACTCACCGACTGACCTGACCCATGGGTGAACTGTAGAAACTGGTTAGGAAGATATGTAAATGAATAGAGCTTTGAAATGCAAGTCTGCATTCTTAGAGATCTCAAGGGTAGACATTTGCTCAGGTCTTGTGATGTAAGCAAAAAGTCTTGTCTATTGCTGTAACTTCAATTAGAAGATCAAAAAAGGAATATTAACATTTAGGAAGACACTTAAGTGAAATAGTATTATTGTCTATATGTCTCTTTGAAGGTTGTGGTAACCTGTATCTGAACTGTTTAATGGATAAATTACCCTGTGCTAATTGCCAGGATGTTTGGGAGAAGGAGAGTTAAGCCTATTGTTTTCTCAGGCCAAAAGGCTGCTGGAAATGTATAAGAACCCTAGGACACAATCCTGCTGCATCTCAGGTCTGCTTTGGGTTTCAAGAGGGGGAAACCTTAAGCCATAAGGATTGAGATCCCCAGTTATTGACTGGAGCCACCCTGAATATGGACATTGGACTATAACCTATGGACTATTTCTAAAAGGACTTTTGGCAACTACAAGCTCACCTCTGCTATGCATCTGAACCTCAAGAATTGAATTCAAGTCTGTATGTATATTGATCTTTTAACCAACACTCTCTCTCTTTTCTTTTTTAATACATTTTAGCTTAGTTAAAAAGAATTGACTATAGTGTGTATTTTGGGTAAGATCTAAGTTATAATTGAACCTGGGTATGTGGTTGATCCCTTGGAATTGGAAGAACCTTTTCTTTTATATGATGAAGTAAGATTTTCAATAATCATTATCATATCTGACAGGTGTGTCTGCACGGAGGCCTGAGGCTGGGTACTTTAAGGGAACTGCGTTGTTTGGACTTCTGAGTAACCAGTGAGGTACTATAGAAGCTGTTTTGTGCTGGCTTGGTAAATCTAAGGACTGGAATAACCACCAGCGTTTGGGGTTTGTCTGCCCCGTTTTGTTTGCAGTTCACCCTGATTGAGTGACCTCAGCTGGCTCCCACGGGTAGCACCATCACAACCAGTCCTGGAAGTAAAGGGAGACTCCATCGGTATCGTGTGCATCTCCAAGGAATGGGAGGTGATCAGTACCAGGAACGTGTTGCGGCTGAGCAGGGGCGATTCAGGCATTTCTGAAACCACCAAGTCCCTAGGAAAAGGAAACTCCTGCGGTACCGGGATGGGCAGTACTGATGAAGTGGGATTGCAGAGGCGGCTCTGCCACAAGGTGCTGACGGTACCAGAAGTCTCATGTGCTTTGATGAATGCCCAATAGGTGTAGGTCTGGTCTTTTATGGAGCTGAAGTACTAGGTACCGAGGCCCTAGGGGACTCTGCCAGTACTGGTGCAGAAGAGCTGGTCTTCTCTGTACCACTCTATTCACCTGACAGTACCAATCTTCCAGAGACGGAGCCCTTAAAAGTCCTTAGGCTTGCTGGCAGCGAAGGTACTTGAGGAGCCTGCAGCCTCATGGGTACCGAGTCACAGACCCGTGGGTGCCGAGGTGGTCGACCTGGCCGGGGACCATTTCTTTGCGGCAAATTATCTACCATGGGGACTTGAAACTGCTTCCTAGAGATTTTTTGAGAGGATTTCAACTATTTCCTCTTCGAAGCTCTTGGGGTGTGTTTTCCCAAGGAAGTTGACGTGGTTGGCCTGGTCAGGGACTGTTGTACAAGGGGAGTCCCTGGGCCGGGGGCAGAGGCCGTTTGGAGCAAGCGCTCCATCGTAAGGAGACGCAGTTTTCGTTCTTGGTTCTTTCTGGCCCTCAACTTTAACTTGAGGCAGAAATTACACTTCTGAGGAACACGTGACTCCCCGCGACAGCATATACAGCGGGAATGTCCGTAACTGGCCGGGATAGCCTCCCGGCCTGAAAGGCAATGTTTAAACCTTGGGGAACCGGGCATACCCTTCCCGGGTTTCACTTCCCCTGAGTGGAAAAAGTAAGGGGGGAAAAAAGATGGATCAGCAACAGCCGCTATCCCAGTAAGAAATTTTTTTTGAATTTTTTTTTTTTGTAAACTAAAGAAAGAGAGGAAAGGGATTACTGCCACTAACTAAGGGAAACTCAAGGAACTAACGCCAACTATCATGAGCAAGAGAAAGAAATACAGTTATGGCAATCTCAGCTCAGACGCGGCTGAGAAGGAACTGAGGTGGTTTGCCCACACAGCGCTAGCCCTGGTGCGGGGTGCGAGGCAGGGAGGGCGCATGCGCAGGCTGAACGGACACTGCTGCCTAAAATCTCCGATCCAAGGCGCGTGGGGCGCAAAGGCACCTAGAGTTAAAAGAACCTCAAGCGGGGGGCACCCATGGGACACTACTAGCAGCAGCAGCATGTCCTTGGCCTTACACCGAGAAGGTGCCTCTCAGTGGAGCAGGGCAAGAGGCCAGTTTCCAGACTCTGGGCCTAGCACAGGGGCTGCAGGCCCAATCCTCCCTGCCCTGCCCTGAGTGGAGTCACTGACCCCACCGCAAACCGCCGCCCAACCTCAGTTCTCCACCCATGGCAGCAGGAGCGCTCTAGTGTGGGACAGGGCTGGATCAGGCCCTGGAAGGCCAGTCTCCATCCCTGGACCAGGGGAAGCAGCACCTACCTACGACACGGTCAGCCAGGCTCACGGGCTGAGAGGACACTATGGTTTTGTAGCCCATCACGTCAGAGGGGACGATGATGGACTGGCACACGTAGGAGGTGACCGATTTCGAGAACTCTGCCTCCCCGTCGGGGACCCGCATGTCGGTGACATTGTCCGTACAAGTGGCCATCTTCCTTCCCTAGGGTTAAGGAGCAAAGCAGTCAGCCCTTGTCCGGCGCCAGCACTCTGCTTTCTGGGGGAGGGGGCCGAGCCACACGTGGTGCGGGGATTTGAGGTGAACGTCTCCGTACGGTTCTGACAACACTTCTCAACCCAGACCTGTGAGACCCCGTTACTCTCCTGGGCCTCTCCACGGCTGCAACAGCCTGTGTTGGCACTTGGGTCTATGGGGTCTAGGTAAAACCCACCTGCTAAGGCACTGCCTGACCAGCAAACTCATAAGAACATAAGAATGACCCTACTGGGTCAGACCAAAGGCCCATCTAGCCCAGTATCCTGTCTTCCGACAGTGGCCAGTGCCAGGTGCCCCAGAGGGAATGAACAGAACAGGTAATCATCAAGTGATTCATTCCCTGTCACTCATTCCCAGCTTCTGGCAAACAGAGCCTACAGACACCATTCCTGCCCCTCCTGGCTAATAGCCATTGATGGACCTACCCTCCATGGATTTATCTAGTTCTTTTTCAAACCCTGTTATAGTCTTGGCTTTCACAACATTCTTTGGCAAGGAGTTCCACAGGTTTACTGCGTGTTGTGTGAAGAAATACTTCCTTTTGTTTGTTTTAAACCTGCTGCCCATTAATTTCATTTGGTGATCACTAGTTCTTGTGTTATGAGGAGTAAATAACACTTTCTTATCTACTTTCTCCACACCAGTCATGATTTTATAGACCTCTATCATATCCCCCCCTTAGTTGTCTCTTATCCAAGCTGAAAAGTCCCAGTCTTATCAATCCCTCCTCATACAGAAGCCGTTCCATACCCCTAATCATTTTTGTTGCCCTTTTCTGAACCTTTTCCAACTCCAATATATCTTTTTTGAGATGGGGCGACCACATCTGTACACAGTATTCAAGATGTGGGTGTACCATGGATTTATATAGAGGCAACATGATATTTTCTGTCCTGTTATCTATCCCTTTCTTTATTATTCCCAGCATTCTGTTCGCTTTTTTGACTGCCGCTGCACATTGAGTGGATGTTTTCAGAGAACTATCCACAATGACTCCAAGATCTCTCTCTTGAGTGGTAACAGCTAATTTAGACCCCATCATTTTATATGGATAGTTGGGATTTCGTTTTCCCATGTGCATTACTTTGCATTTATCAAGATTAAATTTCATCTGCCATTTTGTTGCCCAGTGACCCAGTTTTGAGAGATCCTTTTGTACGTCTTCGCAGTCTGCCTGGGTCTTAACTATCTTTAGTAATTTTGTATCATCTGCAAATTTTGCCACCTCATTGTTTATCCCTTTTCCCAGATCATTTATGAATATGTTGAATAGGACTGGTCCCAGAACAGACCCCTGGGGGACACCACTATTTACCTCTTTCCATTCTGAAAACTGACCATTTATTCCTACCCTTTGTTTCCTATCTTTTAACCAGTTACCAATCCATGAGAGCACCTTCCCTCTTACCCCGTGGCAACTTACTTTGTGTAAGAGCATTTGGTGAGGGACCTTGTCACAGGCTTTCTGAAAATCTAAGTACACTATATCCACTGGATCCCCTTGGTCCACATGCTTATTGACCCCCTCAAAGAATTCTAGTAGATTGGTGAGGCATGATTTCCCTTTACTAAAACCATGTTGACTCTTCCTCAACAAATTATGTTCATCTATGTGTCTGACAATATTGTTCTTTATTATAGTTTCAACCAGTTTGCCCAATACTGAAGTCAGGCTTACCGGCCTAGAATTGCCAGGATGACCTCTGGAGCCCTTTTTAAAAACTGGTGTCACATTAGCTATCCTCCAGTCATCTGGTACAGAAGCTGATTTAAATGATAGGTTACAGACTACAGATAGTAGTTCTGCAATTTCACATTTGAGTTCCTTCAGAACTATTGGGTGAAAACCATCTTGTTGGTCCTGGTGACTTATTGCTGTTTAATTTATCAATTTGTTCCAAACCGCCTCTAATGATACCTCAATCTGGGACAGTTCCTCAGATCTGTCACCTAAAAAGAATGGCTCAGGTTTGGAAATCACCCTCACATACTCAGCTGTGAAGACTGATGCAAAGAATTCATTTAGTTTCTCCGTAATGGCCTTATCGTCCTTGAGTTCCCCGTTTAGCACCTCGATTGTCCAGTGGCCCCACTGGTTGTTTAGCAGGCTTCCTGCTTCTGATGTACTTAAAAAAACATTTGCTATTCCTTTTTGAGTCTTTGGCTAACTGTTCTTCAAATTCTTTTTTTGGCCTTCCTAATGGTATTTTTACACTTCATTTGCCAGTGTTTATGCTCCTTTCTATTTTCCTCACTACGATTTAACTTCCACTTTTTAAAGGATGCCTTTTTGCCTCTCACTGCTTCTTTTACTTTGGTTCTCTTACTGTGTTTTTTAATGTGGAGTATACATTTAAGTTGAGCCTCTATTATGGTGTCTTTAAAATGTTTCCACACAGCTTGCAGAGATTTCACTTTTGCCATTGTACCCTTTAATTTCTGTTTAACTAACTTCCTCATTTTTGTGTAGTCCCCCTTTCTGAAATTAAATGCTACAGTGTTGGGATGCTGTGGTGTTTTCCCCACCACGGGGATATTAAATTTAATTATATTATGGTCACAATTACCAAGTGGTCCAGCTATAGTCACCTCTTGGACCAGATCCTGTGCTCCACTTAGGACTAAATCAGGAATTGCCTCTCCTCTGGTGGGTTCCAGGAGCAGCTGCTCCAAGAAGCACTCATTTAAGGTATCAAGAAACTTTATCTCTGCATCCCGTCCTGAGGTGACATGTACCCAGTCAATATGGGAATAATTGAAACCACCCATTATTATTATTATTGAGTTTTTTATTTTAATAGCCTCTCTAATCTCCCTGAACATTTCACAGTCACGATCACCATCCTGGTCAGGTGGTCAGTAATATATCCCTACTGCTATATTCTTATTATTCAAGCATGGAATTACTATTCATAGAGATTCTATGGTATAGTTTGGTTCATTTAAGATGTAAGCAGAGTCAGGATGAGCTCTACCCTGACATCTGGTGGTGAATTGTGGTGAGTTGTGGAAAAGAACTTCAAGGGCTGAGCTTGTTTGCATAGGCACACCCACCCCACCTAGCATGAACCCACAGCAGCCCAAATGGTCACTTTGGCTGCTGCGGGATCCCCAGTTTCTCTGTTATTGGGGCAGGAAGAATAAAGTGTTGTTACCCTAATTATGTGAATCAAGGACAATTAAGCTGTTTTATGACAGAGGGACTCGCCATCAACTAAGTAGCACTTGCTAGACAAGGGACATGGGTTCCAAAACCTAGTGACTTGAGAGAGGCTAGGGACAGGTATTTGTACCTGATGGTATGGGCCCTTTCTGAGGGCCTGAAATACCAAATGCACTTGCACCTGCACCACCTCCACCACTATGGAATATCGGAGCTTATTTTAATTCCACTAGGAGTCTAGTTACAGACTGCTGAGCTGAGTTTGTTGGGCCAATAGTGCACCAGCACTGAGGCTCCCCTACTACAAGCTGAAATCACTAAAGTGGTAAACTCACTAAGAGCTGAAATCACTGAGTGCTGTAGGGAGGCCTGAATTTATGTTGCTGAGTGGCTGGCGGAGTGGAGCTGTTTGTGGGACGACTGGAGCGGCTCGCAGGATGGCTGGTGGAGTGGCTCGTGGTGAAGGCTGCAGCAGAACCCCATGGAGAGGCGGGGCAGTTGGCCTTGGACCACATAAGGTGCCCCTTAACACCGCTATGCCTCCCCCGCCAGGCTGGGAGGTAAAACTCTGCAGATAAACTTTGAACTCTGGGGCTGTACTGACCAGGGACAGAGACTTTTGGGGTGCTGGACTTTGGGTGATCTTTTGGGTTGCTGGATTTAAGACCCTGAGGGGAAAAGGATACTGCCAAACTTACTTGGGGGTGGGTCTTTTGCTCATGGTTTGTGTTATGAATCCTGTTTGTGGTGTTTCCCCAACATAATGCTGCATTG